TTTTCAATTTCATAAAACACTTTTTGCAAAACACAACACACAATTCTCTATGTAACACACAGAAATCTAACAGGAAGTATCTTGATTTCCTTTTTCAAACACAACCAATCAAAATGCCACACTAATTCATCAGTGCCTCACACTAACTCCTCACACGTGCAAACACTCATTGCATTACCTAACACGAAGCAATCATGGCTTTAGAATAGGCCTATAAATACACATATACACAACTACACATGGTTGATGTATTTCTTTTCTTTTGTTCTGTGTAATACTGTATTCACAACCACAGATGCTTCAAGTAAAAAAAGTTTGGTTTCAATCTTGCTTTCGTGTTTACCGTGAATCTCTCTGCCAATTGCTTTAAATCTTGAACAGAAATGTACGTAGGAGCTCATGAAAGAAGAGCTTTAGGTTTTGAATAACTGTGTGTATATGATATATCCAAAAATATAATATTATGGCAAAGGTGTTTGCAACAAAAGACAAATGTTTGCTTTTGAAATGTATTTGTGATATTTTGAATGCAGTGCTTAATTTTGCAAGTGATGTGAGGCATTTTGCATTTTGTGTGTGCAATTCTTGGATTTGTGTGTAAAGTTTTGAAAAAAAGAGGCAAAGTTTTGAAAATGTGTGTAAGCAGTTGAAAAAAAACTGTAAGAGCAGTGCTTAATTTGAGCCGGATCCTTCCGGATCCTGTTCCGGAAAATGTCAGATTTTGGATTTTTGCGTTCCGCAAAAATAATAATACCAAATAAAGTGAAATATTATAATGTATAAACATTCATAAACACTATAAACATAGCTATACGTTAGTATGTATAGCTCACTCCAAAACAAATCATATAAATGTAATGGTATTCAGAACAGAACAAGAATGAAATAAAAATATATAAACCAAAACAAAGCGAAACTGAAAGTACCAGGCGTTATTTGGGCTCACGTACCTCTCATTTGGCACAAATCCTAATGTTTCCATATTCGCAATGTATTTGAATGAAACTATTATTAATAATGTAGAGGCTTTGTAGTTCACGCGCGTTCATATATCGACAGAAATATCCTCTTCACATGAGCAAAAATGTGCTTGGCATACAAATTGGACCAGTTATACCACGGACTATTTAAATTGACCAGTGTA